AAATTTTGTCTGTTCAAATCAATTTTGAGCCCTCTAAAGTAATAGAGAAACCTGGTCTCCATGGCTGGTCATGTGAAACACTGGACAAGTATCTCCAGCAATGCCATGCCAAATGTCTGACTCTTTGGTACGTTGATTGTATATAATAAGTGTTCCTTTGTCACAGTCCAGGTACATTTCTACAATATCATTGCTCTCAAAGTCTGTAATAGTGCTGTTCTTAACATGCATGTTGCTTGAGAGCAGGAGGTGCTTCATTTGTTTGGAATTCCACACCCACCAGTTACCCAGACTGGCCAGCTTGCCATGTGATCCTCTACACGTACTGATGACCCCAAAGCTAAAACCTTCTTTAATATTGCCAATTAGTTTAGCTTTGCATGAATGTTTGCCATTGTTGAATGAAATAGAACTCACCACATAATGCCAATTGTTTGCACCAAAGGGCCGAACAGTGCCTTCACTGCTGTGTGAGGTTTTGGTGCTTTGGGAAATGCCATTTGACAGCAAGCTTGCAGCACTAGTACTGGTACTGCCAAATGGTGAATTTGAAGCAGTAAACTTTTGACCAGATGTGAAACTTGAAGCATTAGGGTATGCTTTCCAGACAGAGGACGTTACGGCTGACTGCAACGTGTATTGAGCAGTCAGATTTTCTTCAGACAATAGCACTTCACCTTGAGAGCTTCCTGAAATGCATAGAAGACGCCATTTTTTTACGGACCAAGTGAATGGACTTCCACCCACATCACGACCCAGCAGCTGCACAACCAATTTATATCGACCCTCTTGTTCAGGAGTGTATGAGAAAATGTAGGTACCATCTCCACAGTCCTTCACCTCAAGGGCTTTAACACCAGCACCAGTGTCGCAAGAAGCTGTGAAAGGATCACCTCCTTCTATTCGCTTTGTTCCATTCCATTCCTTGGCAATTATGGTGAACTGAACAGGCTGTCTACACAGTGTACTGTAGATTATGCCCTCTGAACCATGACCCATCATTATTGTTGATGCCTCAGCATTGGTCATGACATCTGTGATGACACCAAAGGTGGAAACTTCTTCTTTCAGTTCTTTTTCAACTATAAACTTGATAGCATCATCAGTACAGGGTTCTAGGTGCCAAATAGTTGAATTCAGTTCTTGTAATCTTTTGCGTATTTGTTTGCGCAAGTTCAAAATTTCAACATCACTACCATGTTTGATAGTTTTCTCTGTGAACCCAACACCACTTTGCACAATGTCTAGGGCCAATTTCAATTCTTCTTGCTGATTTTGCAAAGTGTTTAGTTTTGCTTTCTTGAGCTCTTGTACTCCATTTACCAGTTCCTCTTGACGAGTGTTAAGACTAGCAGTCAAGTCCTGAAATCGTTCTCCAATCTCTTGAACAGTTTTTTCTACTTGAGACTCGATGCTTCTCTTCATTGCTGAAATACAGTCCAGGGCATCCTTGAGGGTGGATACTTGAGCTTTTGTTTTTGAGAGAATTGTCCTCACATCGTTTTTTCCATTTCCAAATGCATCAGTCACAGAAATAGATTTGTGACGCTGATGCTTAACAACTGTGCAATCACTGCAAACAGCTTTGTCGCATGTCTCACAAAAGAGCTTGAGCATCTCTCCACTGTGTTCTTTGCAAAAGGATGGGCGTGACATGTAGACAGCCATAGGTCCTTCCTCTACAGCCTCCTCCAGGTTCATCAAATGGTGACTTTTGGTGGTGCGGCCCCCTCTATGTCCCATTGTGCAAATCTCACACAGAAATTGAAAGCAGGTTGTGCATCTATTGACAGGGGGGTCTTCACTGTCACAGTTATCGCAGCCAAGGCTACCTTTTTCCAAAACAAGGGCAAACATGGCCAACATGTTGTTGAGCATGAAATTATCTGGTAGCAAATCAACTTCTCCTTGGGGAATCTGTGGAAGGTAAAAGAGGGATTATTTTAAAAGCATTTTACACCTGGTGTGCCAATTTGCAAAACAAAGGCATGAAACAAAGAGACCACATCAGAGATAAAAAAATAATTGAACAAAGAAAAATCTCCCAACCCTTATCAGAAAACATCTAACAAAATCAAGTTTTTCTTCTAGTAACCTTGGCAATTCCATCATGTTTATTTTGAAAATGACACCACCACCCCTCCGCCCAACTCCCCATAGCCCATTGCAGAAACGTGAGAGGACTGGGACGAGTTTCTTATGTTGATTACATCGAAAATCTAAACATTTCAACTGAAATGTTACTGAATGAAAAGCTACCCAGCCAAGTTTGAGAGTTTTCAGGGGAAAAGTGTCCAAATTGGAGGCTTGCAAAAGTTGCAAAAATTCCATTCAAACCCTCAAAATTTTTTGCCCTGTCTACCCAATCCTTACAAACTCTCTATTTTAGGTGATATTTGAAAAGCTCTCATTTTGCCATTTTACTCCTTTAAATACTTCTATTCTTACTTAAGACTCTCAAATTTAGTTGATCTTTCATTTGAATATCTTAGTTTTTCAAACAAACCGAAAACTACCACACTTTTTCCCAGTCCTCTCACGTTTCTGCAATGGCCCATTATGAAATCCCTTCGCACCCTCCCCTTCCATTTGCAAGGATTCTGTCCCAGTTCCTATTGCATAGAACTGCTAATAAGTCCCGGGGGGCTACTCCCTTCTAAGGGCTTAATGGGGACGTGCAGCCAGCCAGGGTATGTTTTTTGAGATTTTTGTCTTAAACAGGGTATCGAATTTATCATTTTTTGTCTTAATCAGGGTATCGATTTATCAATTTTTGTCTTTAACAGGATATCTTTTCTTGGAAGATAAACAGCAAAATTTTTACAAGCTCTAATTTTAATTAATATTGAATTCCGTTGATTTTGGCATTCTTACCAGGCACTTTAAATGTCTTAAACAGGGTATCAAAAATCGGAATTCTGTCTTAAACAGGGTAGGAAAATCAGCGACATTTGTCTTAAACAGGGTCAGGGTATGAGGGGCCGCGCCGCACCTCCCCACCCAGGAATGTATCGAGTACCCCCCGGTAATAAGTCAGACTTGATCAGCTTGACTCGCAATCAATCAATAATTTCAATGTGCCTGTTAATTGTTTCGTGAAAATATCAGAAATTAAAAATAAAGAGAACGTTACACGACGAAACGATCGATGTGGATAGCAGTTGTTACTGAAGGAAACAACGCGCCACAGCATCATAAATCCATCAACAAATGATAGTCAGAACGAACACGGTGGCGATGAAAAACTATCCTTCAAGTTACATGTCAAACATTGTTAATGTAGACCAAATTCGACAGTTCTCGCCGTGCAAAGATGTTAACTTCCTCATGATGAGCGACGGAAATGAAGACTGAGAGAACAACATTAAGAACAGACAACTCACCTCCACGCTCGCTCGGCAGAATGGACACCCAACTCTCCAACCGATTCCCTGTTTATTCAACATTCCTTCCAAGCAAGACTTACAGAAGGAGTGAAGACAAGGGAGAACTCTAGGTTCCTTAAATTGCTGCGAGCAAACTCCACATTGCAGCTCCTTCGCTAGAGTCTCTGCTAAAGTCTCTGCTAAAGTTGAAGCTTTCGCCATTCGATCGATGGAATGAATTAGTAGTCGTCACGCTGAGAGAGAGAGAGAGAGAGAGGAGAGAAATTGTCCTAAGAAAAAAATCCAGTTGTTTTTTTCAACCGATAACAATGCACAGTTCCTCAGTGCTGCAAGTATTACTCAAACAGCTCTCGATTACAGTTAGAAGGGTTTCCCTACCAGATCATGTGATCGACTCAATCTTCCCGCGGAAATTCTTTCTTGCATTAAATCTGGCCAATCAGATATACTGTCACGGTCACTTGCTTGCGTGATATCAAAAATTAACGAATGTTCTTCATCACACGCAAATAGATTCCGATACAGAAACGTGATCTGCGATGGAATAGGCAAATTATATTCGGGACGTCTTTCAAGAAACATGATATTACTTGAAGTTTTAATGCAATCGAGCACCTTCCAGTGCAAAAAGGTTTTATCATGCAACTTTGAATGAATAAATAGAAAACAATTTGACCATAATTTGACGCAGTAAGTAGCTTCATAAAAGCTTCAGAACTGTCCAAAGTCGAAGTTTTTGTCACACTCGTACCCAACCTCCCTTCTCTCGCTCTCAGCCGGAAGTTACGAGCTCTCTGTACTAGCGCTTGCAACAGGTATTTCGTCAATCTTTTATAGTTTTAAATACAAACACAAAGGGTTTCTAGTTCATTGGGGTTGACGACAAAGCACATCTTCAAAAATTGCATTCTTTCTGCGATGCCTTCCGCGTCACCAATGCGTCTGAGCTGAACCCTTCGCACCTCAAACATTTTCTATTTTGTTGACTAGGAGAATTTGTGCAACTATCCAAATCTTAGCGATAATCTCCCTAGTTATCGAGACCTTGATGTTTTAATGAGGGTAAAAAAGTGAGCGGAAATGAGATGCTAGTCACTCTCAGAGTTGAAGGGCTCATCAAGTTAAAGCGACTAGAGGTATCACCCCCTCCCCCCAGATGGGATGCCAGTCCATTGCAGGGTTACCGCCACCAAGTCATGAGGCTTCCCGAGCAATAACCAGTGACGCTTCTGGGTAAAGAAGTGCATTGTAAAAGTAAAGTGTTTCTCTCAATACACAACACAACTCGGAACTCCCCAGTTCGGCGTCACGGGTAACCCATAGTAATAGGCTCAGCTCCCTATTAAGAATATTAATAAAGACCTTGTTCAGAAACTTTTAATTCTTCTTTTATTAGAAAAGACTTACACGATACTTACTAAGTCTTGTAAGGCTCCAGTTAAAAATCAAAGCTTTACAATATTTTACAGTATATCTTTTCTTAAAATGTACATTTTTTTTTTAAATTGATTTAATGTCCAAATCGCTCTTTGGTGTTAAGTCAGGCTTCAGCAAGAACTAAAAGGCACGCAATCGTGCTATTAAATAAGTTAAAAAAAAAAAAAAATGCTGGCTTTAAAATTTTGGCACAAGAGCTGACAAAGCTTCAACTCATCATTAGTTGACTGCTCTAAAAAATAAAATTGCACAGCAGTATTTTTGCCTAAAACGGAAAATAAATAAAAAAGGAAATTATACCACGAGGTAACCCTTGAGAAGCCATTGCAAGCGATAGAGGTGAAAATTGCAAGCAGAAGGACAAGGGGGCAGAAGAAGTGCTCCTAAAATCATTTCAACTCTCCAGCTTTTCAGTTAGGTACTTTTTGTTGTAAACGAAAAACGCGTAGACCAAGTCTCGCAGCCAAGAAGATCCGGCTTGGTAAAACAAATTAACGCACCAGCTCAAATTTGATGGCAGGCCAGTTTTTAACAGTCCACGCCTCACACAGTGTTAACAAGGTGCACGGACACATTTCCTTGTAACATTACCGAAAGGGTGAGCCCTATTCCATCACGCATAGGTCACGCGTGTCCACGTGCGACCTACGATGAACGGATAGATAAATTTCTTTTTTCAAGTGAAGTTTGCGCGAACTTGCTCTGATACACCTCTAACTTGGAAAAAAGCGAGCGTCTAACCATAGAAACAAGAATATTCACAAATTTCCCCATTTTCCTTCATTCAATAAATAAGTAAAACATCACATGTTCACCCATCCCTCAAATAAATTCAATTCTTTGTACAAACTGTGTAAAGAATCGATGTCCTCCTGAGGGGGGCGGGGAGGGGGGCTGTTTGTATCAAACGTTTTCGTGCTGGTCCTAGAGCCAATAAAATAAATAAATAAATTACATGAAATGTAAACAATAAAATATGGTTTATCGAGACTAAAATAATATATTCCAATGCTTTTTATAAGGGTTGATCACGATTCTGCACGATTAAGAATTACATGCTGTAATTTTGCTAAACGCGACTACAAAACCAACCTTTTTTGGTTGAAGACACAGCTTTGAAAACGTGACACCAACAGACTCCCTATAAGTTAACCGGATTTTGACAGACTACCCTGACAGGAGTACCATAATCCTCTCTAGACTTACGAGTCGTCACACAAGGTTTCTCTTACCGGGTAGGAAAATGATCAAATAAAAACAAAGTTTTTAAAAAGTAGCAAATGGACGAATATTAGAGCCCAAACAGAATAAAAACAAACGTCAAAAGATCATTGACGCTTGGCAAAACAAGATGACCCTTTCAATTAACAAATGTGACAGCTGTTGAAAACTTAACCACATCAAATGATAAGAACATCAACGGCGAAATGTGAAGAAAACTAATTGGGTAAACATATCATTGACGACAAAACAAACCCTTGAGTAGAACATATTGCTAAATGTGGTTTCCGAGATAACAGCAAATTCTCCAGGTATATCAAATTATTTCATGTAAAACAGTTGAGCTTCACTCTGAAAGTTGGAACAATTTGCTTCGTCTTGCGGAGCTCTAAAATCATCGAAAGGACAAGAAATGACCTTAGAACACTCTCCCCCAACTTACAATACCATCCCACATCAGAAAAATCATTTCCGACTCATTTCCAGGAAGGCAATCGAAGAAAGACGAAAAGACAGCAGCTAGCTGTCAAAAGGCATGCGCAAACGGGCTGGTAGCCGCACGTCTATATAAGAGATAAGAATTAGGCAACTGGAATTGCAAGCGCATGCGCATTCTTAAAACAGTGTACGGCGTTGACGCCATTTTTGGAAGCTTGGGGACGTCATAAGGGGGTGGGACAGCCTAGAACCCGGTAATGTATGCCCCTTGCTCCGCCAACGGGCTTTTCCCTAATAAAAGGAAAGTTACGGTGAACAGAAGAATACAGCCCGTGTATTCCTACCGGAGAAACACTACCCGCAAATGTATGGGGGCACAGTTGCAGCGGAACAGAGCGGGACCGGGCAGGTGGGCGGGTTCACCGCGTGTGTCAACGAGGGCCTGGTATTTTTTTTCGAGGTTCCTAATTGCTCACCACCGGACTCTGTTGAACGCAAACCCCAACCATAGGGGATTCGTCTCCTGGTGAATGCTGCCGTACAAAATCCCTCCGGTGTCCCACTGAAATCCCCCGCGGATTAGTCACCGAATTCGGAACTGTCGTGGAAGATCCCACGCAATTCACTTCATGTTCCCCCGGATTAAGTGACAAGTTCGTTGCAGAGTAGTTCAGTTGCGTAAACGCTTCCGGGGGAAGAGAACTACCAACAGCTGATCCATGAGGCTCAACAGTCATTGAATTGCAAGACGAAGATGACGAGTAATTAGAAACAGTTTCTGAGCTGCAATATATTCCTCCACTGACACCAAAATCTCGTCCCTGGCTTCGTCCTGCCTCGCCGCTATGAAGAGATGTGTTAATTGAAGCGGAGCTGTAGGCTGACGAGCCTTCACTGTGAGCCCCTGGCAACGTCGCACTTTGTTGAATTCCTTGTCCTGCAATTCTGGAATCGGAATTATTACAAGTTCTCTCCGTAGTTCTTTTAAATTGCGATGTAATCCCTCCGACCGCATTGCCCCACGTCTGCGGACCTTTCCCACTTGGGCTGTCGCATTCCATAGCTGACGACGTCACAGTCGCCTGCGCAGTAGGGTCTGAGCATGCGCGTGTGCCTCCGCTGGACACCGCAGTGCTAGCTACGCTTGTAGTTCTATTTGTCGTACCTCCCATGGCGGGAGATGAATTAGCTGAATGCGAGGTGTTTGTGCTTTCATCAGCAGTCTTTTTGAAGAAGCAATGTTGCAAAGCTTGGTACGGCGCTATTCGAGCTTTCGGATCAAATTCAAGCATGCGCAAAACAAGGTCCTTGAATTTTAAATAATCTTGAAGCGAGTGTCCAGACTCTCCTTGTCTCCTACCACCCGGTCCACCCGTCTCGCATCCCAAAATGTCGTGGAGTTTCCTTGTTCCAGGTGGTCGGTATTCCTTGGATAAAGGGAACAAAACACTTTAGCAAATGTTTCTGAAAAGGCAAAGTAAATTAGTTCCACGGAAGGGCGACTTCTTTATCTAACCATGAAAATCCCTTTGGAGTGCTGGTCGTAATCTCACTGAGTTCTACAATTTACATTGTTACGGCATAATTTTAGAAGAGTTCAAGTACCTTCGCTTGGTGTTCAAAAAAAGAAAAGGAAGGATGAGAAAGAAAAGGGACAGAAAAGGGGGAGGAGTGATGGCAAAAAGGGAAAAGGTATTAAAAGAAGAAGGGAGAGAGAAAAGAAAGAAGGGATGAAAGAGAGCCGCGTGGGAGGGAGGAAAGAAGGGGATGAGTAGGGAAGGAAGAAAAAACAAAGAGGCCTTGGTTAAATGAAGAGATGAATGTAAAGTGGAAAGATGTGAGAGAAGGAGGGTTGGAAAAAGGGATAAGGGGAGGAAAGGAAGGGAAACTGGAAGGAAAAAAGGGAGGGATGGAGAGAATCAAACAGGGAAGAAAACAATAGGGGAGGGAGTGCAGAGGAAGGTTGGGGGAAGGAAAAACACGGAGAGGGAGGAAAGGGAGAGAGAGAAAGAGAGTTAGGAGGGAGAGAGGTGAGATTGAGGAAGAAGATAGCAAAACATGAAGAGAGGAAAGTAGGGAAGAAGAGAGAAAAACGGGAGAAAAGAAAGGGAGGTTGGAAGGGGTAAGTAGGAAAGAGGGGAAGGAGCGAGAAGAGAAAGGAAAAGATAGGAAGGTGGAGTGTGGGGGAAATTCGCTGTCCCCTAAAAAAATTTCAGATTCTTACCTTTTTACCGTCCTTACTAGATTTACAGGTGTATGTACCATCTGGTAAGCGATCGAAAAACTTCCTAGCTTTGGGCGCACTTTCCAACATGTGCTTTGGAGGTAGGCCTAAAACCTCCACAACTTTCATCATTTGATCAAACTGAAAGAGAAAGAGAGTAAAACTTGAGAATAAGGACATAACAGCTATTTTCAAATAAATGGTGCGACGGAAAGTACTGTGACGTCAGGGAAAATAATAAGCACTGCTTACATTTGAATGAGAGTGATGGTTGCTATTTGACAATTAGTCGCCGAAGGCGAGGTGAATATCGTCGAATAATCCCCGAGACGAAGTCGAGGGGATTATTCGACAATATTCACCGAACCTGAGGCGAATAATTGTTTTAGTATAATTTCAGAGCTGAGCAACAGAGAAATTTCTAAAACCATAACATTTTAGTAACATTCATTAACATTTTATTTTAACATTTTATCTAAACCGCGTGGAGCGGTTTATATAGAGTTATATAAGGAACCACTCGACCAATCAAATTGCTGGAAACTCTTTGCTCAGCTCTGAAATTATACTAATTCGAGATATAAACGCTCGGGTCTGTCGTCCAACTATTTGGAGACCCTTCATGTAAGCCTCACCTCGTTTGCCCCGCTGAAGAGCGGTTCCCCAGTGTGCATTTCGACCAAAATACATCCCAAGCTCCACATGTCAATGGCAAGATCGTAAGGCACGCCTAAGAGCACTTCCGGTGAACGGTAAAACCGACTTTGGATGTATTGGTAAATCTGCGTAAGAAAGTAGAGAGGTTAGAATGGAAACCCATCAACATGGAACACAAATTAAACGCGAAAAGAAAACGAGATTTATTGGGTAATGTACGTGAACTAAGGGACCAGTCTTTAATTTGTATGAGGGGGGGAGGGGGCGAAAATTGGTTTTCAGGGGAAACTGAGGGGGAATTAGTCGTCACCAACAGAGTATTAAGGGGGGGATATAGAAAATTAACCGCCAATTAGGGGGGGTTCGCGAGAATGTTACGGAGCCTTATGGGGGGATCAGGTAAATTTTATCGTGGCGCAACAACAATCCTCCATTCCCCCCCCCCCTCCCTGGTGGTGATAAATAATGACCGGTTCCTAAAAGGACTGCAAAGCGGCGGGAAAAACGCACAAGATTCAACCGCGCTGAAAAAAATCGCGGGACGCGTGTACCTCGCGAACGCGATTAAAACGGAAATCTTTGATCGACTAAGAATATCTTACAGAGTTTGCACTCAGAGATAAAATAATAACAATAAAATTTATAATTGAGAAGTTGCCTGAGCGTGGGCCCTTTAACAGAACAGCCAGAGAAGGACCTAGTTGACATGAGATTCTAACAGTTGACATAAATGTTTTTATTTGGAGAGGAAAGATGGACGAAAATAAAACAAGAGTTTCGAACAAAGAAAAAAACTATTTATAGCAATGACAGCAGGAGTCCTTGCCTTCTGATCAAACACTTGTCAATTTAAAAGTTATGAATATCTATCAAGTTTTTTCTTCCGCCTAGTTTCCAAAGGAAGTCTTAACTGCGGGAAAATTATGCCCGCATGGAAACGGCTGTTTTCAGAAATAAGCCTGATTCCCTCTCCTAAGAAAAACTGAACGGGATAGAAATTTTAATAGTGGTGTTAACAGCTTATTACAGCCGTGGGGTTGGAAATACAGAGGTCATCTTTTTACTTAAAAAAAAAAACAAATTGATGTTTGGCCAGCATTTCGCTTCCAACTGCTAAATATTGTCGCCAGAAAGTCTGGCCGTGTCGAAAAGCCCGGAGGGAACTTTCACTTTTAATTGCTTTAATTTCATGATTTGAAAGGGTTTCTGAAAGATTTTGAAAAGGAACTATCACGTTGGGGCAATTTAAACACAATGGATGGCTCGAGCGCGACAAAGACACATCATCGCTCAATTTTTTTTTTTTGTGTAATTAATTAGCTAAAGTCGTAAGTGCGAAATATTCACCCGATATTGGTTTTTTTTTTTCTTCGTGCACATTTTTAGATTCAAATTAACGGAAAAAGAAAATCGATGCGGACACGGTGTAGACACGTGTTGGTCTCGTGTAAAGCAAACGTTAAATAGTAGAACTTCAAGAAATAGCAATGACAAAAACCGCCTCAAAACACCTTGCTTTTTATCAATAATGTAAAATGTGTGGTAAAGGAAACAACTTTCATGCAGCCGAGTTAATTTGCATGCGTCCTAGACACTTTTTAATTACCACACGGCTCTGTTTGTACAAGACAACGCATCACGATTGGTCCGTTTTCACCAACACTTGTTTAAATATTAATTCGTATTATGTCGGTCCTCCAGAGATTTATTGTTCGTTGCCTTTGTTCCCCTAATTCATTATGAATCAGCTGTCATCGTCAAATGCGTTAAAGTGTGGAGAATATTCGCTGTGATATAACATTTAATTCTGCTACGCGCGGCTGCGTTTTTGCTTGCTACAAGGCTTTTAGGAAGATAGGAAAAGTATATTTTTTTTCTTTACTGTTTAAATGGTTCGGCTATACACTGAGAACCCTCGAGAATCAATTACCACGAATCAATTTCCGACAAATTAAATGATATTGGGATGAAAACCTCAACATTACAGACACTGGAGCCGTCAAATATCGAAATTTTATAACATTGCACCGCACCTGTCAAAAAAAGAGCTTGAGCAAAATTTCTACGAAACAGAAGTCGCTTACACATTTTATTTCAGTAAGATATAAAGTGAGCTATACTGTCGATTGAACAACGTTCACAAAAATATAAATGCTTCAGATTGATCAATGTTTTTCCTTTGTGTTCAGTTGAAATTTCCCTTGACCTTTTAAACAGATCTCCAGCGAACTTCTAAACAATCACTTTGCCAATGCAATCAAGTAGTTATTGAAATAAGAAAGCTAGATTTGAAAACAAAATCTCCACCAGTGGATTAGCAATTCCATAAAAGCAAAACAAATAACAATAACAAGCGGACCTAAAGCTTAGAGTTCAAGAAAGCAAAGCACTTTACTCTCTCGACGCTTCTCTGCACACGGGGATAAACAATTTCCCAGCGAGAAATTGTAGAGGCGGGGGAAGAGGGAGGGGGTAACTTACAAATGGACTAGGTTTCCATCCAGGAGAGGGTGTAATACACAAAAGGCAGTTCATGTTAAGGAAATCGAGATGGGGCGTTACCTTTCTTATGCAAAACGATTGATTATAGCCAGCAAGGGTGGTGCAACCGTGACTCAATTGTTGCCATGACATTACTCTCCTGCGCAAACACGGTTAGACCATTTCCGGTCAGAGAGCTTTTCAACATGGCTTTTGTAAAGAATGCGAGTGTGGATTACGCCTGTTCAGCCAATCAGGAAACTAAAAATAATTTGGTCTAAGCAACGTTTCCCGCGCCCGCTGCGATAAAAAGCACCTTGCAATGTGTCTCAACCAATGAGATTAAAGAATCTGACAGCAGCCACTCGGCCTCTACGATAATCGTAAATAAACCCTCGCGATTTTCCCGTGCTTTTCACCGGCAGTTGTCGCAACCGCTAGCCCTGCATTACGTCTCAACCAATAAGGTTAAAGAATCTGTCCTTCCTACCAATCAGCAATGAAAATAACGCCAATATCGCTTTCGCCATTTTTCCCGCGCTTTTCACCTCCATCTAAAGGTGCTGTCAATAACCACATAATACGAAAAACAAGAACCTAAAAAAAAAAAAAAACAAACTTAAGATACCGTAACTTACCCTTTGCCCAAGCTGACATGAACTTCCAAAATCCACAATCTTGATCGCACTTCTTTTAGGATTACACAACAAAATGTTCTCGGGTTTCAAATCGCAGTGAATAATATTTAGTTCAGGCGTAGACAAGTACAGTAACGCGGTGCACATTTGCTGCGCAAATTTCCTCGTCAAATTCAATGATACTCCTCTAAAGTTCGTATTTCGTAGCAAGTCGTACAAATTGTACGATAAAAGTTCAAACACTAAGCACAAGTGATTCCTGTACATGAAGTGTCTCTTCAGCCGCACTGTCGAGAGAGAAATTAAACAAAATCAATAAAGTTAAATAAGCATCAGTAAACATATTCTCCATACTGTTCTCTATCCGTTCCTTAAGTGTCGACAAGGTGAATTTGTTTAATAATCACGATCCTCTTAACTTGACGATCATTTCCTTAATTCTTGTTTCAATGTGAGACTTGGGGGGAGGGGGGGGGGGGTATATCGTAAGGAGAAATTAGATGCCAGTCATCCTTAATAAGTATCAAAGGGAAATATTATTATTATTAAGGATATTGTCTTCCATACAACTGTTAAAAATCTTAGCATCAGTGACTGCTGGAGAATGTATGGATGTTGTAAGGACAAATTCCTCATGATCGATCATGAGAGGAAAAAGGAAAAACAGATTACCTGGGTAGCCGACGCAGAGTTCCCGTTAACGCCCAGGTGTGCGTCTTATACGCACAAAAAAATGAAAAGGACGCACAGTTTTTGCCAGTGTGCGTCCTCGGGACGCAGAAAAAAGGTTCCGACTAGTTAGGAGACTGGGTCTGGCGGGCCCCACCCAAGAATCCCTGCGATCATCATGGCATGTCCTTTGACCCGCCATTTTGTCATAGTCAAGAGCATGTCTACTCAGAAGAGCTTATTCATTATATTCGATATCCGAAAGGGGAAACCTGTAACTGATACAGATTCGGGGGATGATACCCAAGTGAAGAAACGCAAACTTTGTCCTAAATGGTTGAAGGAGTTTCAATTGTTAAAATATGATTCGAAAGAAATCAAATGATTGGTGTTAAGAAACATGAGCACGCTTTATTCCAAAATTAAAGCTCTATTAATAGCGTTAACACCTGGTTTTTGCTTTTGCCTGTGTTAGAAACTATAAAATCAAATTTTAGTAAAAGGCAGGGAACCTCTAAAAAGCTAAAAGGACCCCCAACGTTTTGGAACTGGGGGCCCAAGGACCCTTAACTATCAAAACTAATGGGAACTCTGCCACTAACGTATTAGTTTTCTGTGATTGGCTGACCAGACTAGCGCCACTTTCTCAATCAACAGGATGCAAAACTAAAACCTCGCGCTGTCACGCACTTCTTAGTCTGGTTTGGTAATTGGCCATTGTGATCGTTTGGTTTTGGTCTTACGACACACAATCGTAGTGCAATTCAAACTTTTTTTTTTACAATGGTAACAGAGCCGAATAACGTTTGCTCTTGTCACAAGTATGCTTATGAATCCATGGCAACAATAAAAATAATTTAAATGGCGGTTTTTTTTTTTAATGAAAGTTTTACTATCTTCGTCCATTGTAACCGCTAATTAACTAAAACAAACTATGACCGAGGACCGCCAAGCATACTTATCAACTTTAGGTAGGTCAACCTACTAAATGAATTTGCGTAATTGAAATGTAACAGTTTGCAGCCAAATTTTCAGCAGGTGTGCAAGGATACACCTATGGTGTGCAAAAGATGTTTCATCCCAAGTGAGTAGCAAAAGTTTTCCGTTGAACCTTTGAACGCACCGCTTTTCAATTTTTCCGCCATTTTAGTCTAGTGTTGCTATGGTTCCAAGGGGGAGCCCGTCCAAGTTCCTGACAAGCGCCGATGTTTTTCAGCTTTGTTTACTCTAATGACCTCTTAAAAAATTTACCAAAAATTTGCTTAAAATTTACTGCTTCAACTCAGTTGATATAACCGAATTACCCTGTCACCTCCACCGACGCAGCACCATAGTTTCTTTAGAAACTCACCCCCTATGTTCTTTAAAAAAAAGTTACGTGTAAAAACAGAAGCATCGCTTCATCATCTTCCTCCTTTCCTACCAAGATTCCATTTCTTTCCCACATTTCACTTTACATCAAACTCCCAAAAAACCAGATGTAAGAGCAGTTTTCAACTGAGTGTTGAAAGTAGTCCGTGTTGAAAGTAATGCTATGGCATTTCTTTATTTCGCTCTGAGATTGATTCCGAAAACGCGCGCCACTCTCTCAACCAATCAGAATCAAAACTGCACTCATTCAAAACTTGGTAACCCGCGTTTAAGAAAGTGTTTGATTTCACTGAGTTTTGATTGGCTCTTTAGAGTCTCTTCCTTCTTCTGATTGGCCGTTGTGATTTCTTTGATTTTGCTTTTACAATAATCAGTCGAAAAGCGCTCTAAAGCAAAACCGATCATGAATGGGTCACACACGTTTTCCCGCGCTTAAGTCCCCACGCTAGTTGTCATTGGCTCATTGATATTTCTCTTACATCTGATTGGCTGTTTGCTGTCTACTCTTACCGATGTAGTATTTTCCTTCAGGATCGTGGGAGTTCATTAACTCCAACAAACGAACTTCAATCTGAGCTTGATTCAAAAATGGCTTCTTGTTTTTGATGATTTTTATGGCGATGAATTCCTTTTCCTGATGATCATACGCTTTGCACACCTAAAAGCAATTTAAAAATTTTTAAAGTAAACACTGTACTTAAGTCTACAGCAGATACTTGACAAGAAACTCAACACGAGAACATAACACAATTTTGATCAAGCAAAAGTACAAGTTCAAGAAACATATTTAGACGTGAACAGTGACCAAAGAAGCTTTCCAATTGGGAGAGAAACTCCAACAGCACGTAAACAGCATATTATCTCCAAAACAACAACAACGACAAATAACTTACTTCGTTTTGCCCCGATAAATTGATTTCGTCAAGTGAGTTGACAAAGTAAATTGATCACCGCTGAGAGTTTCTACGCTGACCTTTCGAACGTAGCCCTCTGCCAGAACGAATGTACTTCTCTAACTTTCTTCACTCTGATGAAGGGCGAACGTTCAAAACGTCACCGTTAGAAACTCGTAACTTGCTTTACTTTATCAACTTATTTCATAAATAGAGGATATTACATGGCCGCGCGTGGATACGAATTATATCTTATAGCGCTGATCTCTCACCCGTTCGCTTCACTCACTCGTGAAAGATACTTCCAGCATGAGAAGATGAAATTCGTATCCCCAGGCGGCCACGTCATGTTCTGTTTAATTTATAGATACTGATGAAATTTCCACATAATAACAACTTTTTTAAATTCATTTTCGAAACAGCAAAATAGTGCAAATAAACTGGTCACCTATTGCAAAATGCCTATCACAATAATGTTATGAAACTTGGACATAAAGTTGTAAAGGAGAAATACAGACAATAATACATATATTTTCTGTTCCAAGAAGTCAAATTTCAAAAGAACCGGCCGCGCGCGGGAAGCTCTCTTGTAATTGACTAATCACGTTAGTAACCATTGCGACACCAATATCCTCACATACGAAAGATAAAAATAGTATCTTCACTGCGCGCGATGAAGATATGATTTTTTAGTAAGAGGAAAACCCCGGTATTTCATCAGTACCTATATGATAAAACCAAATTATCTTGTAATACCCCCCCAATCGATGCAATATCACTTTCTTTAGAAACTTTCCCCTTTACGCGTTTTTTTTACCCCAGTGTTGGGGTCTTTTTATCGACTGGTTTTCTCCTCATTTTTCTTTTTAAAGCATAGTTAATAAACGCAACATCAAAACACCAATACGAGGATAACAAAATGTTACTAAAAAAAACATTGGGTCAATAATGAAATCAACACTTTTTTTTTAATGTTCACATGGTACTTTAACTTTCATTCGGTGGGTAAAAACATGAAAATGAAAAGTTACTTAAATTTTTGAAAACATGGCTTGAATTCTGCTTTGGTAGAAATAAAAAAACGACATGGTCATATAAATTGAAAACAAAAAAATGAGGTTCTTCAAATCACTTATTAATATTCTCCTCTCATATATGCTACTAATTTGGAAATTGCAGGGAAAACCCCCAAAACCTTTGCAAAATTTACATAATAGAAAAACACTTAAAAATACTAACTATTGATTCATCCAAATTCTAACCCCTAAAAAAATATTTGGGCTGCTTTTTGGCTCAGCCCAAAAAAGGAAAAAAAAATAGTGTCTTTTTTCATTATATTTTATGTAATTTAAAAGCTGAAATTGGAGGTTTTTTTCACACTAAATACATATTCTGATCAACTTTCAATTTCTCCTAACTAAGGCAAATAATTCTACTGTAAACATTCAGCAAGAAAAAATAAAAAAAAAATAAAAAAAAAAAAAAATAAAAAAAAATAAGTTAAAATAAATATTGTGCATGCCAATCATGTTGAAAAATAAGAAAACAAACACCCTTACATGAGTAAAATGTATTATTATTAAAATTCCATTTGTGATTTACACATCTGCAAATTAGAAGAAAGACAAGGAAAAAATGTCTCTATTTTACCTGACCAAATGAGCCTTTTCCTATTAAAGACTCTATCTCATATCGGTCAAACCACTTCTCCCCTGTTTTGATGATATAATCAAAGTTTTCATCATCGTAGCCATCATTGTACAGTCGTCTCTCTTTTTTGTGCCCTCCTTCTTCATTTTTCTCCAACTCCTTGCGTTTCTTCTTCTTAGCATAGTACACCTAAACAAATAAAGATTGTTCTTATGACGACAGAAGTGTCTGGTTTGAATATACACCACTCAAAGATCAACTAAAACTTACATATGGAACATCTCACCTACTCATGACATTTGAGGTTGTTTCTACTGTCTCTAATTCTTCAATCAAAAAGCCAGCTTAAGTAAAATGAGTGAACTGCATTTGGCTAGCTTTAACAAGTTGGAATTTAAACATTTTTTAAAAATAGTTCTAAGCATTTAGACCATTTAATCTTAAAAATAAATTTTTTTCAATGTACTTACATACTTAATTCATTTATACAGTGGCTGTGCCTTTTTTAACATCTTCAGGAGTTGTTATAAATTATCCATATGATGTATTTTTAACAGAAGTAGTTTTCTAGGTTTTAAATAATTTTTACCACAAAAGGCAGCAATTTCAGAATCTGATTAGCCATATTGTAATTGTCAATAAGAATGCAGACAACCCTGCTCACATCAACATGTCACGCAAGGGTCAAACGAACAAACAAACAAACAAGTCTTTATTTCACATTGATATTATGGTAAAAAACAAATTAAGAGCGGTTCAGCATGGGCTGTACTCTCATCTACAACAATATTTGTGATCACAGTGGTCCCTGACATTTTGACCACGATGACGAATACAGTTGTTCATGAGAGTACCAACCACACTAAACCACTGCCAATTTGTTAAATTAACAAGGGCCACTGGTTTACCAGTTTGTCTACTTTTGTGTGTTGTACTCTCTACAATAATAGTACTATTACAGAGCTGTGGTCTAGCAGCACTCAGTGGCCCCTGGCACCTTACTTTTGCTCTCGGGCGACTTAGGAATCTTAGCTTTTTTTCATAAAAAGCATATGCTGGGCACCTTGGATTTCACAGTTTCAGAGCACTAGGCCCCCTTCAGTTTTTCTTAGAGCACAGCCTTGTATTATTATAATTATTATTATTGTAAGAAATAGACAACTTTTTTGAGTTGTCTATTTCTTACAATATTTATCATACTTGCTACTCCTACAACCTTATTATTATCATTATTATTATTATTATTATTATTGTTAANAGTGCAGCGCTCTACCAATTGAGCTAACATTTATCATCACAGGTTTATCACAAATCAACTTAACGGCCTGCTCCCACTTGGCTTGTTAGCTCAATTGGTAGAGTGCTGCACTAGTATCGCAGAGGTCAGTGGTTCGAATCCCATACAGGCCTGATTTTTTTCAGGTCTGATTTTCGCTATTGCATAAATAGCGCTATCTACTGCGAAGGATCGTGCATCGTACGTATTTAATACTGCAGTTCAAAAAAAATATGAACTTCATATATTCATTGTATCTGATTAATAGTATTGTTAAGAAAAAAACTATGGAGTTTGTAACCCTAACAAAATGCATCACCATGTTCCTGTGGCTTTCAAAGTAAATGTTTGACTGTTAAAGAATTCCATATAATAGATATGCCACTTTACCTCATTAATATGCTTGTAGGTTTTTATCAAGTCCACACTGAGCTTTCTTAGGGGTGCAGAGCTCGAGTCACGAAACGTTGTCGGGATCTTGCCATAGAGTGTTTGAACTCCAACAAAATCCACCTCATCTACCGGTTGATCTTCTGTTTTTCCAGCAATGTAATTCATGTCAGAAGCTAACAATTTGTCTCTTGATGTCCGATCTCCATTGCCGCCTTTAAGAAATAATAGGGAAAATTGTAAACAAGTAACATTAACTATAGACCATCAAAATATACACATCACATGGAAGTATTGCAGAAGTAGTCAAGAGGCTAATTAAATGAGCCAGTAAAAAGCACAGATGTTTCAGAGACAAAAGTTGTCACCTCTGGCACCTTGGTTCTACCAGAGCAAAGCCCTTATTGAACATTTTAAACTAAACGACAGAGAAAAAAAAAAGATTTTAAAAAATAGCTAAACAAATTACTATCAACCTCCATTTGCCCTGTGCGTAAGATAATTGTTTTGGAATGTTCTTGCTGGTGTTCCTTTAAAGAAGCTACATGCACATCACAATTTTTCCAGTTTTTTTTTTTTTGTACTGTGTAAAATATACTTTTGACTCACAAGAGTTGTAAAATAGTTCTTTAACAAGAAAACAAAATAGAGGAAAAAAGTAAATCAAGATGAAACAAGATGACTGAGGATGGAGAAGACATGCTAAATTTTTTAAGATGTACAAGCTACCAGGTGGCTTCTTTATCAACAGTTAATCACGTCACCATACTTAACTTCATGCTGGAATTTAAACATTTCAGATGTACGCTAACCTCTATCAGAAGGTGCACCCCCAGGAGGAACGTCCATCACCTACTCCAGCATGACATCGTCACTTCACAAAGAAAAACAACCTTGATTTATATATCTGCTGGCAATTTTACCAAAAATGAACGCATAATATACTCAGAAACTTGTATCAGTAGCAAATGCATTTGTTATGACTAACATGCTTTTGCCACTTTCTTCCTTTGTTTTTTGGTGCAAAGTTTGAAGCCTTACCATTATTTTGTTAAGACATGAACAAGAGCAAATGTAATAATTGTATTTTACTTCATTTTGATACAACAAATCCTGTAGAAAACTGGGAAATATTACAAAAACAAAAAAAAAAAACAAATGAGTAAGATTTTAAACCACTATTATCAATTGATTTCTTCAGTTACAACTGATATGCTTGTATCAAAAAAAAAAACCCCTAATGGCACGCCTGACCCACGTGTACCATGAGCACTAATGACATGTGAGGAGAGCATAATCTTGCACCTAATCCGTTTCTTTAAATGACAGATTTCAAAATTAGCCATGAAAATATCTATTATCTTTGCAATGTGAACAAAATTACATGAGGTAAGGAGACTACCTGTTAAACTGGCCACAAAAAGAAGGAGAGAAATACAAGTGATGAGGAGTTGAAAGGAGGTGAAAACATAGGGGCAAAATAATCTATCGCAGCATTATCAGTCAAGAGTGAAGAGTGGATGTGCTTTACACTAATTGGTGTCATTCATTCGTGACACGTGAAATTAAGCATAATGAGAAATGCACACATTGGTAAATCAAGAACACACTCTGCTGTGCAACGGTGAAAAGTGTCTCATGGTAAAATGAAGCCTTTTTGATTTTCAACTGATGAGTAATCCCTATACGTAAAGACTTAATAAATTATATGCTACACAACAGACTAAAAAGCAAATTCCAAGACTGACCTTCAAGCACAAAGATTTGTCAAGTACACTTAAAACTTATTATCTTTCCTTTCAGATGTTGTACTTGAAATGAAAATGCAAAACACTAAAGCAATAAATGTTTTCTATTTTTTTCTCAAATAAAATGTTCCTGTAACTGAAGATAATTGTAAGAATTTTCTTTTTTCTGCTTGCAAAAAAAAAAAACCCCACACTGATACAAAACCAGTTTAACATCAAAAATAATGACATGCTGGGAATTATGCACTGTTTATGTATTTGATTTCCACTTCATACTTTTAAGCTAACTTTCAAGGCTAGATTTAAAACTATCAACACACAAAGCTTAATTGCCAAGGAAAATAAAGATCTGAGAAATAATTTCATTCACATGTACATGTAGTTTAGAAACGAAAATGACAAATTTCTGTATAGCATTAAGCCCAGTAAATTATGTTTCCTCATGGGAGCTTCACAAATTAATAATGGAAATATTTCAAACATAGTATTATGAACAACTTTGTAAAACTTAATGTCTGTAATAAAAAGTCATTTTCTAGTGGTCCTACTGAAAATTTAAAAATATGATCCAGGCATGATTGTACACAAACTAAAAACTGAACAATAGAAGACTAACTTTTATGAATTCCAAGGCCTGCAAATTTCCATCAACTATATATATATATATGGGCACACCTTGAGTGCAGTGGATTACTACAGCGTAAATTTTAATGTTCACAGCCATGAATGAGATGTTAAAACATTAATGAAAAACTACCTTTTGCAGATTAACATAGAAAATCCTCAAAAGTCTTCAGGGTAAAAAGCACCTCTTGTTTCCACTGCAAATTCTTGCCCTTTCCACAGTAAAATGTTGAGCCACACCTCATAGAAAACTACACAATTTCACACACGACCTTTCAGGATATCAACCACAAGGTTTAAAAGTGTTTAATAGTGATGAAATTTTAACTTTTTTGTGGTATTTACTCAGTTGTAAAACTATTTAACTCACTGGGTTATGAAAAGAGAAGACTTATGAGCCACATTTGTCTGAAATGAAAAAATTAATTTCTTTTGTTACCTGAGTAAATTGAAAGAAAAGGATATCTGCTTCTACAAAGTATATACTCCTGTTCTGACCAACAAGTGAATGAAACACATGAATTATAAATCTAGATTTTAACCAATGACTATTTAATTGACTTAAAACAAAATTAACAAACATACAACAGCTAACTGAATTGCTTTGCAGTTGTGAAAAGATATGATTTTTTAATTACATATCTGCCATTTTAAACTACTGTCAAGAATGTCTGGATGAAATTGCCTGTATAACTTATAATATGAATAATTCTCGTGCAGTGTGAACTGCAAGAAAAAAAAAGAAAGACTTCTCTGTAGAAAATGTTGGTTACAAATAAAATTTTAAAAAAATACTGCGATTCTTCATGAATAATCAACTAGAAAGTTGATTTCAGCCTCCTGTTGAGACTGTCAAAATGGACAAATGCTTTCAATCCAAACTACTTATCAAACACACATTTCATTGCATTTATCACAGAACATGTAAATCTGACTGTCAAATATGAGCTTGGCCCCATCCAAGATCTTATTAACTTTCTTTTGATTTTTCTACCATACCTTTAAAACCAGCCTGCACTTTAAAAGTCAAACATTTTGAAGTCAAATATCACACATTTCTGTACAAAATCTCCCTTACAACAATTGCCTTTTCAATTGATCAACATCAAGAAAGGTACAGAAATATGTCTATGCAAAACCTCACTCTTGACATCAGTTCACAACATGCGCTCTCTCTTGCAGGTTAACTATTAAAAAATCTTTGCCTAACAGAACCCATCTAAATCTAACTTGTAGATGTTCTTCTTACAAATAGTTACAGGTAATTCTTCCCTTATGTGAGCACTATTTCTTACAATCACTTAAGAGTTCTTAGACATTTCTAAAATGTTATCAGTATCATCAGTACTGCTCAGAAATACAAAAATTTATTTAAAACTAATGGTAAACGCATCAGCTTAAGAGCGAAAAATTCTCCAAACAAACCAGGACAGGCATTTCTCTTTTCTTTCTACTTCATTTTGTCACTTTCCTTTGCCTTCTTTAATAAAACCCTTCCTAGGAGAACATGTACACACACAGTAACTGGAAGAAAAAAATTGTACTAGGAGTGGCAAGAATCCAATTTCTCCTTACCATCCGGCTCAATCATTCTTTACCGTCATGAAAATAAGGAAAGTTATTGCCAACTTAGAAGCTTTGATTGGTAAACCAATTCTCCCTGGCAGTGCCAAAGGAAATGTAAACAGAACATTGTGGAGAATATGGCTTTTGATGTAAAAGTGTAAAAGATTAAAAATACAAAATAGTTGGTTATATATTGTACACAGCACTTTATAAGACTAATGAATGAAAAGCTGTGGAAAGTTCCCAATGGTACACATTAAATATCCTCTACAAATTAACATCAAATTTCACAAACAGTAGGATTAGATAAATACTTCTTGTAATTTGTACAGTTCAAATTAATTCAACAATCGCTTTCCGAAAAACAACAGTAAGTTCATTAACAGTTTCCAAGTCAGAGTTTCTCCATGTTTAAAAAATGAAGTCCATAGATGTAATTTATAGAGAGTTTAGTGCCAAAATTTACAGTCTATCTACACTGTATATCAAGCTTGATATGGGTTGGTATCAGAAGTGGTCATTTTTTTGTAAGATAAAAATTACAAATCTTGTTACATAGTGAAATGTTCAAAAGCAGGAAGAAGATCAAAAGTAGTAAAACTATGCAAAAAAAAATCCTAGACTGACAATGCTATCTTCTGATTAAAAATTAGACAATTTATATAAGAATCTTTAAAATGGTCTGTAGCAAGTTTGAGGCAGTAACAAGACTTGTTTCTCAAGTTATATTTTGTGTCCTTTTTGGGGGGATTAAATTTCTGAGAGGATGTAGATCTAACTTTACCACTTTATTGCAATTTTTTTTCTTTCCAAAGCAATAATGAAAGTAACCAACAAACTTTCCTTTCATCTGACTCTTACACTACAACATTAATGCAAGCAAACAGAAATTGAAAATTCTGGGTCTGAGCTACTTTAATTCAGAAATGGTATTGTTTGTTGGTACATTCTCTGGTTACATTAACTTTTCTCTGGCAACTTCATTTCTTAATTACAAACCCTGTTAATGGATTGCAGAGCCACTGAGATCGATTGCTCTCTGTTATCAAGTAAATGAACTCAATCAAAATATTTTTGAGAAGGTGAAACATCCTTGTACAAAAACAGCTGTTTACAGCTGTTTTTGTACATGGATTAGAATAACTTCACCATCGTCTTATTAGATCTCTGAGCTCTTTAATTCACAATTCACAACTGATCATGAATAATACCATTGATTAATATTGTAAATGGCATTAAGAATTCCAAAAATAAAGTCCACACTGGTCTTACAAGCAAACAGTTCAAAAGCAATGTTTGTTTATTTGTTTGTCTTATAGATCTGTCCGCTATAAACTTAAGAAAAAAAAAACCTAACTCACTTATAGATCTGTCTGCCATAAACTTGGGGGAAAAAAACCCTAATTCAAGGTGGGACTCTAGTCCTATTAGCAGATGATTAATTGCCTGTGTACTATCAAAACTCAATTACAATTTTGAAGCATCTCATGACAATTAATTAATCACTAATAATTCATTTGTCTTGCTAAATATAAAACCCTTTACTGACCACTACACACATTTTTAAAACCATATGGCTTTTTTAAGGACATTCAATCATTTAAAAGTTTGCTACAATTTCAGAACCAAATAGTATTACATTGTACTTTTAACCACCTCAAACAATCCACAAAGATAATTTGTGATAATAATGTTACTCCCATAAGAGGATGGCAGTCTGGTGGGTTTAAAAATTGAGTACCAATATCAGGTTGAAATTTAATTTCTCTTTTAAAGTTGGAATGTTCCTGGTCTGATACAGTTGACCAAACGTAAACATACAGCAAAAAGTAAGCAAGTCCTTTCTGGTTTTTTTTTCAGAATGTTCGTATAACATTCATTTCTAGATGAAAAATAATTTCCTTGCCCAAATTATACCTACATTTTTAAGCTTATGTTATTTGAAAAAATAAAGCGACACAGTTCTTAATGATAAACTGACAAGTCCACTTGAGTTCTTTAGAAACATAAGATTAACAGTAAAGCAAAAATACAAGTGATGTAATTTTGAATTTGAATTGACATTTAATCTTGACATTATTTTGTTTCATCGTTGCTTCAAGCACTGAATACAATTCCAATTCCACCTTGGGTTGGAAGCAACCACGCAGTAAAATAACATCTAAACACGCAGTATTTTGGCGCAATTGCCGTCGACAGGAGAGGCCGAGATAAACCTATTTAATAGACCGTGCAATTTCGGTTGTCGCTTAATACTTGTGAAATTAATAACAGAATATAATGTAAGTGTACATATTAACATTTTAAAAATATGCTACATGTTGGCGACAATGTAACAAATCCAAAAAAAGCACCTGCAATCGAACAGGACTGCTTGCAGTAAATGCTCACGCCGTCACGATTGAATATTTTTTTTCGCATCGCCATGTCAAAATGTCGTTCGCCTAAAAGCTGAAATCCGCTCACAGAGCAAAATGGATTGACGAATTGTCTTTACGGAAACCCGTCTTTGATTTCCATGAACTGTTGCAATTTACAGACACTGAAGAAATTTGAACTGAACAGTTATGAACCGATTTATACTTTTCATTCCACCCTGAGAAGGCGACAAGATAATGGACAAGAAGCCAGCCTCACGAACGGAAGGCTACTTCAGCCTTATAGCTATTGATTTCGAGAGAGACGACCACCTAACTAGAGAAATAAAGACAGAACTTTATCTTTCACACGAACGATGTACGCTTTCACTCTAACCATCCAAAATGGACTTATAAGCTAATCTGAACCCAAAACCAGTGTCAGACAGGAAATATCAAGACAGACAAGGCAGCTAAAGCGAAAAATTCAAATGAATGAAATTATAAACATGGCGGGCCAACATCGACGCTTTCGCACTCGGAGAACGAGGTTTTGCAGTTTCAAACTGTCTCTTATCGCATTTTAGGTTGAAATCGCACCGAAACTGAAAGCAGAAAGCGGGAAGTACTTTTCGGATTTGAGGCGTCCATACAATGTACACCGATTAAAAGCGACTCTGCATGTCGAGAGAGCCGCCAATGATTCAAGACTTTCGGACCTTTCATACAAAGCGAGTTACGGTTGCGCAACGAATGAACGTGAACCAACCCATAACATCAGGATCTTGCTTTCTTCAAATACATTTCCGCCCAAAATTATTCAAAATCTTTAATAATATTGATTTCAAACAGTTGAAACCTAAAAGACCGACCACAGACAACAACAAGACACGATTTTCCTTACTAGGGCCGTCCTTCGCGACTTCAAATCGTCAGTTCTCCGCGCGTCAAATCTCTATCGGGCATACTTTCCGAAAAACCTTCTTCTCAAAACGACAAAGAAAGCTGGAAAAACCTTTGAAGAAGGTTTTCAGGACAATTCTAAGTTTCCCCCTACACTTATCAACAGATTCAAGCCTAACACAGAGTTCTAGGTTTCTCAAACAGCAAAACCCTCCTTCGAGAGCGCACTTTCGCAGCTGACGCCATGAAAGATGAAAAATACCGCGCAAGTAGCCAAGGTAAATTAGAGGCAGATTCTCACATGCTCTACGGGTATCCCTTTCCAATAAACCATAACCTTTCATATTAGAAACATATATTACGTTATAAACTTTGCAAACAGTGCGCACAATGCGATTTCCAGAGCTGCTGTCACAGTCCTCGCTCATTAACATTTCAGCAAAAATAAACCACAAGGGTGTTTTGACAGTATTCAGATCTTGGGAAGCACCTTGAGTTTACAAGGAGATCTTTCACATCTCATGGTCGCTCAGTGAATACTTCAAACCTTTGGTTTATCTTCTCTAAGTTTCCGAGCGATCTGGAGCCGGAGCAGACAAGATAGACCGCCAAATTCAAAAACTTCTCCAAGAGAAGGGCCTTCGCGAAAAATATTTTCATATCTCGCATCTACAGACTTACCTGTGAAATTCAACGATCACTCTTCGTTCCTCAACACTCAAGGATTTTAAAGAAATCCATTCTGGTTGACACAAACCACAAGCAAAGGGCTAACAATCCAGTGATCCCCAAAAATTTGTCTTTAAACCAAAATTTCCTTCTTCCGAAAAAACAAAAATCGCGCGCTGAATCAGCAATCACGTTGAAGTTGAATCAATCGAACCGCTCCCCAATTACAACTTTTCCAGTCCTTTTCACACATCAATTATTAAGCTCCTGACTTAACCAAGGAAAGCTTTTCAAGGAAGTTTCAAACTGAAACCGAAGTTCCATACGGTGATCGATCGCTCGGCGTTAAAAAAAATTCGAAATTCGAACGAAATATTGCTCGATGAAACCGTTGAAAGGCGGTCGTAACAAAACCGATGACGCGGACGCACTGTTGCTATGACAATGTCAATTACAAAAGCGAAGAGTTGTAAGAATTCGAAGTTTAATCAATGACGACTAAACCAAAATATTACGTAAAAGTAAGCTAAATCGTGGTCTTTTTTGACCTGAAAACCTCACTTTTTTTGGCTATTTTTCTGCAGCAATAAAAAGCAGCGAAACAATTTTCACTCAAAGGGAGCAAATCTGGTTAACTTGTCTGAACGAGAGAAAAAAAGAAACCTTAAAACAAAAAGTACTACATTTAAGTAATTTTTCGATAGTTCTAGATTAATCACATTCATATTAAAAAGAATTTTTTTTCCAATACGTGATAGGAATATATGCTGTGGTTTTGCATGTTTAACAACATTTGACAAGAGAAGTATAAAATTCTTGGCTTCATGAACGTGAGTATGAGTTATGTCAAAATGCGATCATGCCGGCATGCACTTAAAATGGCGATGATCTCATAACTCCGATTTTCCACCTACTAATGTACCAACATCGAAGGCATTCGTGCAACGAAAAAATATTCGTTCAAAAGAATGAGGTCGAGAGCAGCAAGAAATCAACTTTTGAGGTGTTTTTTGTTCTGTTTTGTTTTTGTTTTTGTTTTTTTTTTTGGAGGGGGGACAGGGAGAGAAAAGAACCAACTAGGGAAAGGTGGAAGTTTCCCCAGCCGATCTTCGACCGCTTGCTCTGCCGAAAAGAAAAAAAAAACACAAATAAAGTAGTCTTCAAGCAAAATTTTCTCGCCGATTAACCTAGCAGGTGACCTTATGTACTTATTTAGTTCAGTTGTCTATTTAAATAAGACTCACAGTAACTTTGCTTCGCGATGGTTTATTTTTGGTGGGTAAAGAATAGTGCTATAACCGATTCTGAGAAATATTAGAACCCCAGCAAAAAATATATATATATATTTCCAAGCTCGCTTGGAGACTTAAAGAATTTTTTTTTTTAATTTAAACCCTCGCTTTTTCACTGCAAACATTTCATTTATTGCACACCGCGCTTCGCCCACACAGCCGCCTACAGTTTCGGCTTACGTGAAACTAGAGGTCCTTAGATTATACAAGAAGTAGTAAATAAAGAAATAGACAGATTAAAACTAAACAATTGAAAAAATTTAGTCACTGTGTCGTTAAGAAAAAGGTGTTACTCTTCTTAAATTAGTGCAGTACTCCTACCCAGTCTGAAATTTCTATTCCATAGCCGGGTTGTACATTATTCAGCGCACTAAAACGGCGTGTGATTTTATTAACAAAGATCTAAATAAAGAAGCTCTCCAGATAGAGACGAACGGATAGGTGAGCGAGAGAAAATTAGTGAGGATTTCAAAAGTTGTCCCGAATCATTTTTTTTTTCTCGCTCGTCCCACTTTTACTTGTTCTCACAACTCAGCTCCAGTCCCTAGAACAGGCCCTGGAAGTAACAGTGTAAGCTTTCTGTTTAACATTTTGGTGTTTGTAAACATAGATAACGTACAAACCAGACACAAAACGGTTTTCTCAGGGTAAAATCTTTGAGGACTACATCGGCAAACATTAATACCTTGCAGCTGAATATTGTTAGCCCTCTCTCCGGCCCCCCGTCCATCTTAAAGAAATAAAAAGTTTTATAAACGTTTCATAAGATGTTTTTGCCATTAAGTACAATTCAAATGTTAAAAAAAGTTCAAGGTTGAAGAACAGCAAAGGAAAGTCTTGACGCACTTTCTACCCAAAAGCTGTCGGCGGAAAACAAGGTCAAAGAAATGGCGGGAAAAAATGTCACCGCTTTTTCACGATATAAAGCGATAGATTATATGATTTTTTCTCAACACCGGAAGTTAAGTGAACGTGTCGTCCCTGTGCGTGCAAACTGAGATGCGTCCGTCATGAGTAAATAAACGAAAAAAAAAACAGCTAAGTGATCGGAATAGCTGCGTCCTGAAAGCGACTCCTCAACGATTCAAATTTTATCATGTCAGCTTTAATTCAGTGGTCATATAAAAAGAAGACACTTTTCAGTTGTTCTGGGTATATGAAAAATAACTAATCGCTTGTAAAACCAGACGCTCGCATACTAAAAATAAAACAACCCCGGCTAGATAGAGGTTGTTCAACCTTTGTACATATGATAATTATGCGGCGGAAGTGTTTAAAAAGTTTGAAACAGGAAGACCTAAGTTAAGTATATTACACCAAACGAAAAACGCCTTAAACTAATTTTAAACCACAAAATATTAAATGAATAGTTCCCAACAAGATATTTCCTACTCACAAATTTTAACCAGGTGCAAATTTTGAAATCATTTGGTTTATCGGAGCAGCGCATGATCGAGGACTCTTTAATTAGTTTCTAAAGCTTGAGGCAAAACGGATTTTTAAATGATACTCACCGTGGAATCGAAGTGAAGCAATATTCTTTCTATTTCTTCTTCGTCTTTGAAAGGAGTATTTCGTGCCTCCAAATTCCTTCGCGTGTTTTTGCGCGCTTTGTGTTGAATGGGAACGCCTGACACGTGCCGATTGAAACCGACAAAGACCCACCACTTGTCAGGGTTGTGCGTTCATGGCACCCAGCAGATACATGACAAGATCTGAACTTTAAAGTCACTTGACATGACTGTGACAACCTGCTAGATTGTATGTAGATAACATTTCAAATAGTTACAGAGTAAAATCAATTACTCTCAGACAATAATGATTTGAAAAAACGCCCTCCCATTGGTTGAGGGGCCATGTTAGTCATGTTAGTCTCGTCGATCTCTACATAAGCAATAAAAAAAAAAAGAAAAAAAAAAAGAAACCGCGTTCCTTGTGAATATGAAACCTTGAGAGATGACGCTATCCCGAGTTTCATAAATCAGGGAAAACTTTCTTTGTCGATGATGATGTAGGGATAGATTCGAATCAGCTGCGAAACACGTGTTTTGGGCCCAAGGAAACATGCATTATTTATAACAGAGGTTGAGCCTGCGACTATTTTCTGATGTAGCTTTGACCTAAAATGTAAAAGTCAATGTATTTCAAATCTACGCAACTTTTTCTGTCAGTGAAGACCGTAATATGAAAAAAAAGTAATCTCTGATAATTAAAAAAAATTATGATGCTAAAACAATCAAGAAAAAAGAAAAAAGAAAAAAAAAAGCAAGTAGCCCTACCTAATTTCGTGCCCACGTCCTGCCGTTTAACTGTAACTGAATTATACTTGGATGGTCTAGGCACGAGAAACTAGAATAAGCCCTACGCAACACTGTTTGTACTTAGATCATATGCTGACCTTCCCTCTGAAAGTCCATTGTTTAACGTGACCTGCTATTTATCGCCTCAATCTTACTAGCCGGAAGCCCACCTTCTGGCGTAAATGATAAATGTTCTTTAAGAAAAACCCGTATTTCAAATAAGCAACCCCGTATATTAGTTATATAAAAATCAGACACATTCTCGCAAACCCGTACCACGTACCCTCCTCTCTGCGTAAAAGGTGTATGTCTGAAAATTCCGTGCCAGCTAGTGAGCCATGCATATGGCTGGCGAGTAACATGAAAAAATTAGGGGAAAGAGATCGAGAGGCAGGTTCTATAAGCAACGCCTTAGGTATATGACTTTCCCCGCAGTCATTCACGGCAGTCTCACGAATGGAAGTGTTAGTACATGTGCTATCGGACACGTCAGCGTAAAGACTAACTTCGATCTGATCTGATATAAACAGTTTGATCAAGAGTCTACATGCACCCTTTGTAGTTATTTGAATAACTGTTTGCTTGTTTGTTTGTGTTTGTTTCACTTTGTTCGTTATTTTGTTGAAAGCTGAAACATTCTATCTCTTTCACCTTTTAATGATAAACATGCCAAGGGAAATGGAATGAAAAGAAAAAAAAAGCACGAAAATTCAGGAAAAAAATAGCTGAAGAAAGAGTGTGATATTTGCGTAGTTTCTGAGAGTGTACTTTGAACTCTGATGTATGTACGAGATGCCTTTTCGAGAGGTCTGTGAATTTGTGCAAGATAACTGACTCTCGCAGGATCTCTCTCCAAACAAAAGTCTGATTTGGTACAGTTCCACCAAACTGCCGGAGAAAACAATTTTAATTTCCTTTTTCTATACAGCTTGCCACCGCCCTCATAACAAAATCGGGAAGGAGAAGAAGTCGGCTGCCCACGTACTTAGTTCGCCGGCCCGGATTAATTATTATTAACAGGACTCAGCGACCGAACCCTCTATGGTTACGGTAAATCCCGTTACAAAGTTGTTTTCACTTACGATACCACTACTAAGAAGAAATTGTCAGTTCAGCGATTTTCAGCAATTTTTTTTTACCAATTTTTGTATTAATTTTTTTTACTTGTTTCGAGAAGTAAGCATTTCCTGTTGATTGTTAGGTGAGGCGCATCAAGGAATACCCTAAAACAAAAATCGTTGTAAATTTATATTCAAAGTCGCCGGGTTTAAGTCCTCTGTCACATCAAGAAGTCTCGGGGCTGTAGCGAGATTTCAGGACAAGACGAGACAAGTTTCGAGCGCCGACGGCGCGAGCCGCTAGAGGGGTCTGGGGGCATGCCCCCCAAAAAACTTTGAGATTTAGAGGTTTAGAATTGCTCTTTTAAGGATTTTCCGTGGCATTTTTCTTCAGAAAAGTCAATCTTTAAGAAAAAAATTAAAAAAGGCCAAAATTTAGACGAGGCAATTGCCTCGTCTTGCCTCATGCTAGCTACGGCCCTGAGTCTTTTGGATTTAAAACGAATCTTCGGATTTCTATATAGCCAACTCTCCCGGATGAAGGTAAATTGGATATTTTGCCTCAAAGGTAGAAAGCAGAAGGAGAGATATCGCGAAAATTTCCTCTTCATAATACAAAAAAGAGAAAAAAGAAAATATGCTTTCTCTTACAAGGATGGCTGTATTTTTGTGTAATTTTTCTAACTTCAAATGAGCCGCATCAGTGTTGACTGCACTATCTTCTGTCTATTCGGAGGAACTGGAACGATGTGGTCAATCTAACATATTTAGAAGGGTGGAGAGGGTAGGTACATCATCCTAAACGAAAACCTTCTGATTGTAGCTTTCCAGAGGTTGGAATTTCTGGAGTTACTTTCAAAAATACACTCGGTAAAGTCTTCAGCAAGCTTTTCTCGCAGTCTCCTTCTCAGTCGTGTCTTTGGGATGTCACAAAACGCTGGTAGCAAATTTCATCTTCTTGCCCCACCCATTGGAAGTTTCAAAGTAAATTTTAAATAAATTTTAAACCAAGATTAAATTTCCAGTAGACTGCAGTTCTAAATGTTAACTATTTCTTAAGGGGAAACAACGATATCTATATTTAGTATATACTAAAACAGTGGATAGCGTTGAAGGCATGCTCTGATTGGCTAGTCAAACTCCGAATATCCTTTGCTATTTACCTCCGAGTAACTCGGGAAAAAATGGCATCTCGGTTTGCATTTGTGACAAAGGAAGAAATCACTCAAATTAACCCCGAAGCAGTCCCTGAAAACCCAAAGAAAGCGTCTAAATTTGGTTTGGCCCGTGTTTAAATGTAATGGGTTAAGTTTTTAACCCGGAGTTTATTGATTAAAACCAATGAGAAAGGTTTTGTTTACAAATGCAAATTAATCTTGCATAATCTTCGCTCGGACAAAGGGCAAACGCTTGAAACATCAGCTTTTGTAATCGTTACGGTGGCCAATTTACCACTTCAACTTTGTTGGTATATCCAAATTATTTCGTTACTCCCACCGACGCAGCCCCAAACAGTTTCTTTCGAAACTATCAGCCTTTAATCTTGCATAACCTCACTTGTTCACTTCCACACATGAAAATGTTGGAATTGTTGCTAGAATGTATGAATTAAAATCAATTTTTGGTGGTGTACAATATCTCACTGTTTTAGTATATACTAGAACAACTATTCACCTCAGCGTTGGTGGTTAGCAGTGGATATTTACCTCACCGCTTCACGGCTCAGTAAATATCCACAACTAACCACCTCCACTTCAGTGAATAGTTGATAATTATTAATGCTAGTAAGGTACATATATATATATATTTATGGTAGGACAGATTTGCCATACTCTACATAATCAGTGTGATAAAAACTCATTTTTGATCTAAATAAACAAAAACCCTCCAACATTCCTTTTGTTATAATCCTTGAAAGCAAATGTTATCCATTA